TTTTTTTTTTAGTTTTCGGCGGACACAACATCTTTGTTTGTATGTGGTGCTGAGGACCAAACCCGGGCCGCACACATGCCAGGCAAGCGAACTACCGCTTGAGCCACATCCCCAGCCCATAAATTTTGAAAATTGATCCAAAAGGTAGTGAATGACTCTTGAATTTCTTAGAAAAATGATTCTTGAGAAAATGAATCTGGAAGAGAGATGTTTTTCCCACATAATGGTCAATGTAAAGGGTGAACACTACATTTCCTAATTCTAGTATTAACACAAAAATAGAATTGTATCTTGCTTTTGCTCCTACTGCTTTTGTAAGGGGCATCATGAACATGAAATAGAGAAACGTTTATGTGAGGGATGGGAAATCTACTTAACATGTAATTGTTCTAGATATATAACCAAAGAAGATGTTGCTATAGCCTCGATGGACAAGAYGAAGAATGATGGGGGCCATGTCCGTCTGATCACAAAGAAGTCTGGGCCGTGCGTCTATTCCACAAAGTAAGGACATAAGTACTAAGAATAGTAACTTAAATTTATACATTAATTTTTGTAATAATACCTCACCTTTGTGTGGTCACTTTAGAGGTTACAAAGAGCTTTCACATTTTAGTAGCTCTTTAGTCCTTCTAACAACACTGTGAAGCAATGAATTCATTATCTTAGGATTAGAGACAAGGAAGAACTCTGACACCAACTGGCCTAAGTGGACTGTCTCAGACCTGGATGGGAGATGCCAGGAGACATGAGGTCAAAACTGGATTCTGCCCYTCAATCTTGATGTCTTTCAACCTTAAAAAGCTTATCTTTTTAACCTTCCAATAACCAACCCTGAAAAATAAGCAAAGCAATTATTGTTACTTCACAGTGTAGGACTCTGCAACACAATCGAGTACTGTGCCTTTCCTTTGTTTCTAATAAATTGAGATGTGTCCCATCATGTTTCATTTCTAATTTTAATTTGATCAACTCTAAGCTTTCCCATAGGAGACATGATGTTTAGCAAGTCCTTTGTTCTAATTCCTGTCAGCACTATCAGCTACATCACTCCATCACTTTATGGTTATAAAAATTCACTAYATCTTGTAAGCCAGCAGATACTAGACAAGTGTTAGTATGACCTCTTTGGCCTAATGAGGTATGTGACCCAACATAGTTAGATAGCAGGGTAACCACTAAACTTTAGTTGGTGTTTCTCATTAGCCTGTTCTTTCCCAGCCTAAAGAAGCATTTCTTAACTTCTCATTTTCCAACTTCTCCAGATGTYTCAAAGTCCAGTTGTTTAACATAGAAGCATCTAAATTCTCAAGAGAGGCAGCATATATCAAATCAATTTTTGTAATACACCACTCCTCTTTGCTTGGCATGGCATATAGAGAGCTGACTACAGCTATTTCATCTCCACACTGAATCACAAAATGTGTGGACCCTGTATTACTACTTATCAATGTAAAAACTAAAAGCCTTTATTTGAAGCAATAACTTTGGTATATACATTTGTTGGTTACCTATTCAATGTTTTGTCCAATTATAGAAACCTTCTTGAAGATGGATCCTGTGTCCCACTTCCAAATCCCTCCACAGCACCAGCTGATCTCAGTATAGCCAAAGGCTATTTGCAAGCTGTGGATAATGAAGGAAATCCTCTTTGCCTTCACTGTCAGCATCCCACTTTCCAAACTAAGCAAGAGTGTAAAGCAAATGCTTGGGATTCACGGTTTTGCTCCCTGAAATGTCAGGAAGAATTTTGGATTCGATCTGATAACAGTTATATGCGAGCCAAAGTATTTGAAATTGAACATGGTGTGTGTCAGCTATGTAATGTGAATGCACAAGAACTCTTTTTATGTCTGAGAGATGCACCTTTAAGCCACAGGAAGAATCTTCTGGATGCTACCTGGACCTCAAAGCTCCCATTGGAACAGGTAAATTGTAATCAATTAACAGAAAGTATCTTTGTACTGAGTGATGACTATTGACTCGTTAATTTTATTTTTTTTTAACTTTTTAACATGGGCATTTTCAAGTATATATACAAAAGTAGAAAGAATAATGAACTTATGTTCCCATCATCTAGCTTTAATGGTTTGATCCACATTTGCCATTCCTTTCTTACCTTACTACTACTACTTTTTTTTTTTCTGAAATATTCTAAGGCAAATTCCAGACAACAGTTTGTTATTTTCATTGTGTATCTCACAGGTACAGACTTTCCTCTTTCCTTTCCTCCCTTCYTTCCTTTCTCTCCTTTCCCCCTTTCTCTTTTTTCCTTCCCCTCTTTTTTCTTTCCCCTCTCTTTTTCTCTCTCCCTCCCACTCTTCTTTTTTTAAATACAATCCCAACATGAGTTACAACACCTGACACAATTACAATTCCTTAACTATAGAGAGTTTATGTTTGGTTTCCTAGATTGCCTGAGAAATGTTTTTCTATAGTTGCTTTATTCACATTAGGATCAAAATGTGGCCCATCTATTGTTTTGTTTTTGKTTTTTGTTGTTGTTGTTGTTATGTCTTTTATGCTCCATTTAATCTATGAGAGCATCCCATCCTTTTTCCTATATTGAAGAAACTTGATCATTCGCTGAGCATGGTGACACATGCCTATAATCTCAGTGACCCAAGAGAATAAGGCAGGAGGATTGCCACATTGAAAGCCAGCCTCAGCAATTTAGCAAGGCCCTGTCTCAAAATGAAAAATAAAAAGATCCTGGAATATAACTCAGTGGTAGAGTACCCCTGGATTCAACCCCCAGTATTGCAACACAAAAACAAAAAAGAAACTGGATCATTTGCCTGTAAGATTTCCTACATTCTGGATTTGTCTCCCTCCCTCTATTCTCATGGAGGTGTTTCATATGCTCTTATATCCCCCCAATTTTCTGAATGTTGTTTATAAGATCTAGAGACTTGATTAGATTCTAATTCAGTTACTTTTGGGAAAAGATCTTAACAGGTGATTCATTGCATCCAGAGGCACCTAAGGTCTAGGAGTTCCACATGTTCATAATGTTAATATTGAATGACAAGAGGCAAGTGGATAACACAAAACGACAATGAGGAGGCCATATTATATATGCATTTACATATGTAACATACATTTAGGTATATTCATTCCATTGTGAAATGTACTTTTAAGCCAAGCGCAGWGGCACACACCTGTAATCCCAGCTACTCAAAAGACTGAGACACAATTATTGCAACTTTGAGGCCAGCCTCAGCAACAGCAAAGCCATCAGCCACTAAGTGAAAGCCTGTCTCAAAATGTCTCAAAATAAAAAAAATAAAAAGGGCTGGGAATGTGGTTCATTTGTAAAGCATCCCTGGGTTAAATCCCTAGTACCAAAGAAATAAAGTATTTTTAATAAAGCAGTTTATGACAAAATATTGTTTGTAGCACACTATCATCAATATTCATTTTGATTTTCAAAACTCAGTATGATTTCTGATCTTGTTGCTTGACAATTCTAAATTTCAGACTGAAGTAAAATGTGTAATTTTATAGTGTGCTTAATTTAAAAGGAATACTCCTGAGTCACTGTTTGCCTACTAAAGTTTTGGATGAATTCCTGACAGCTAGACAAATTATTTATTTTTATTTTATTTACCTAATATTACCAAATCATAATAGAACTAATAATCATTTCTATAAAGATAAATTAGTGTCTTTGAGAGCTAGAGAAATAYAGTATTTCTCTAATGACATCCAGAGTTCTTGAAAGATCCTTTGGTCTAACCAATGAGGGACATATTATACCCATTCCAGGGATATCAGCCAGCTCTAGTTACTGTCCACTGTGTCAATGTGAAGCTTCCAGAAGATATCCAGTGAAATCGCTAAGGCCATTTGAAAGCAACCTGTCTAAAAAGGCAGAACTAATATGGTAGACATCTTAACAAAAGTGCTGTAAGGATGAGGAGCATAGGTGCTCAGAWTGGGGGAGACCAGTTAGAAAGGGAGTGATTTTTTTTCAAAAGATGAATTTTGGATATTGAAGAGTAACCCCAGTTGCTAGGAAAAAAATTAAGAGGCCCCTTTTGAATTATCAAGTCTGTCAGAGTAAAAGCTACTCAGAAAGAATTGGTTACAAAAGGCAAAACCAAAGGAGATTTTTTTTCCCCAAAGAATATGACATTTGCTTCATGTGCAAGACTGCCATTTGTGGTTGCTTCTAAGAATACCAGTGAAAACAAACATCATTATGTATCTTCTAACAGAAGTTGGGAAGTTCTGTACAGAAGAGAAAGTAAAGTAAGTAAAACAAAGGTCATCTGGACAAAGTTTACTGTTCCAAATGCTGCCTCTTGGGGCTCCTCACAGGTCAGCACTATAGATCAGGTCACTGTGCCATTGGAGGATCTGACTTGCTTTCTTCAGAGTGCTTTAGAAATAATCTTGTGTTCCCATCACCAGCAGTCATGAAGTTAATTATACTTTCTTCCTTGTCCAAGACCAAGAAAATTAAAACAATTGTCATACTTGTCATGGTGATGTTTAAAAACTGCACTGCCATAGTGTAAGCTGGTTTTACTAACTCAAGTACAATGTTAAACACATCCCATTTTTTAATGTAGGTCATCACTGGTTAAATATTAAGTGTTCATATTTGGACTGGCCTACACAGTGACTGTTTTAAGGGGACATCTTTGTTTATTTCAAATATGCAAGTTTAGAGGTTCTAAAAATTTAATTCCAGTCCATGGAAGTTYTCTGGTGAATAACATAAAAGTAAGGGTGAAAGCTATTAATATGAAACTGCCATTGATATAGTAACTAATGCATTTAGGTGAACTATTAAAGATTATTTGAGTCAGTAATATTAAGGAGTTTTTAATTTCCAGTCTGTTCTCACTTTTGGTGTAGTGAATATATAAACTAAAAGGTACAGAAAAGACAAATCTGTCAGGAGTCTTGGTGTTTTGTGCTTGCTTATAAGTTTTCAAAATGGATTAGATAAGAGGAAAAAACTTTTTCAGAAACACATTTTATTGCTTTCAAATTGTTAACCAAGAGAGTTTTTGTCAACTCACAATAAAAGCTATAAAAAACTACACTAATGTATTTTTCCCCATGATTCCACTATATAAACATGATTACACAATGCAAAAACCAACAGTTCCTGCAGTGTATGTTCAAAATTGCTGATCTTGTGTTTTATTGCAGCTAAATGAAATGATAAGAAACCCAAAGGAAGGACATTTCTGGCAGGTGGATCACATCAAGCCAGTGTACAAGGGAGGGGGACAGTGCACCCTAAACAACCTGCAGACTCTCTGCACAGTCTGTCACAAAGAGGTCAGTGGAGCTCACAAGCAGCTTTGACTCCATCCTAGGAAATCCAAAAGAAAATATGCAAACAGGTGTAGGTGATTATGTGGATAAGTCTGTACCCCTGCTCTAAGATCCAAGATGCATTTTTTTTCCTTTTATCACTGGACACTTGCCCTTCTTCTTGAGGCCTATATAAGTTTTCAGTCACAGATGCAACAGAAGCAGCTTCCCTCTTAATTCATTTTAGGACCAAGACATGTCACCACTATCTAGAAAAACATGAATACAACTTATTTATTTACAGTCTTGAAGAGAACCAGACCCCAAAACTGAAAGTTTTGTGAATTAGGGCAGTGATGCTTGTTTGCATATGACTAAGAATGTCCTAAAATATTGAAGAAAATTCATAAATTATCTCTAGGACTAACTCAGCTCAACATGAAAGATATTATACTGCTAGTTTAAGTATGAAACCCATTATACTAGGTACATCTTTGTACAACCTGTTGCTTAAAATGGCGGTGTAGGGGATGGTATATTGTTATCTACCAGGATGAATTTTTAACACACAGTCCCACAAAATAACCAATTATATTTATGGTTTTTAGAACCATTTGGATCTTTTGCCAGTGTTCATAAATGAACTCTTTTTAATCCTTCTTTTAATATTTTAGATTCCACAATTTCTTCATAAGTATAATTTTTATATAAATGGGATCATATCACRCAGGCAGGTTTTGTTTTTAGTTTTAACCTTCTTTTCTTTTCATCCTTTCTATCTGGGTACATGAACTTCAATTGGGAAAAATGTCATCTGATTTCTCAGCTGTACAAATTAATAGCAAATTCAAAACTTGTAAGAGAATTAAGAAATAGCCAAAGAAAATGTAACCTGTTCTGTAATTATTTTTTCAGAGTCTCATAAATATTTTATTTGTGGGATTAGTAGAAGAATTGAGTTGTGGTCTGGCTTATTTTATTTTCTACATTGGGTTATCTGTTGAGTTGGGAATGGCTTCTGGGACCTGAGAATAGGAAGTGGGAAGGCCTACTCCTTATCAGATCCTGGTAAAGCTAAGACTCGGGGCATTAGTCAGAGCTGCTGAGGTACTCTGCTTTGTGGTTTGGAACAATCCCTAATGGCTAAGCACTCGGTATAGGGGCAATGTAGATTTCATCTAGACTAAAAATACAGTTTTTGAGCTTCTGTAGCCAATGCTTTTTTGCTAATATGTGCACTTACATTTGTTACCTTTTAGAAAACTGCTAAACAAGCCAAGGAAAGAAGCCAGATGAGAAGACAATCTCTAGCATCAAAACATGGATCAGATATAACACGATTTTTGGTAAAGAAGTAAAGTAGGAAAAAATATATGAATGGATGAGAAATTGTCTACATGTGGAAGAATTTTTTTAAATATTTACTTTTTAGTTTTTTTAGGTGGACGCAATTATCTTTATTTTTATGTGGTGCTGAGGATCRAACCCAGTGCCTCATTCATGCCAGGCAAGCATGCTACCACTTGAGCCACATCCCCAACTCCACATGTGGAAGAATTTAATTTAAAAAATTTATGTCTGTCTGATATTTTCAGAGTGAAAATTTTAGAACATAAATCAAGAATTTAAATTCCGGTTTTATGCTAAAATACTTTTAGTGTTAAATACTTTTTGAAAGTACTTAACCAGAAACTTAAATATAATGCTAAATATTTCCATGGTATTATATGACTTTATTTCTCAATTATGTTTCACCAAGATTTTGCTAGCTTTTGTTTCTCCTGCAWTATGCCTTAATCACTGTATTTAACATAGATAAGTGTTTTAAAAATATACTTTTAATTACCTGAAAAATGCTCTTCTTGACTATTATTGGTTCTGGACTATCATAGGTGTAAATGGAATACTGCAAAACAATAAGACAATTTCAGAGGTAAACCATCATAATTTAGGAATTCTGAGCCAAGCATGACCAATCTACTTAGTATGCAAAAGAGACTTATTCATTAAATGCCTCCAAAATAGGGCTAAGGAATATATTTTGGCTTTACCATTTTTGCTTTATCTCTCAGACAGTCATCTTTATTAAAAAGATAACTTTTAAAAATAAGCTAATCATATTTAATAACGTTTGTGGATTATTTGGGTATTCTGGGTAACTGTTAAAACTAATAAACAACTGAAAACATAAATGCCCCTTAAGCCTAATTTTTTAAGGTTTTTTGTTGTTGTTGCTTTTATTTTTAGCATGTACAACTAAACTTATTGTCAAATACCCTTTGATTCTTGATTCTCATTTTTGGTTTTTTAAATCTGTATTATTAAAAGTATATTTCTGGTACATCTTTTAAAAAGAATAATTATAAAACACTTTATATTAAAGCATAATTGGATGGTTATATGTATTTAAAAATATAATGATAATATTAAAATGTAATTGACATTAGAAACAGTGATAATGAAACAAACACAGGGCCTAATCCCACTATATATCATAATTGTAAGAGGAACAAGTTAGAACCACACAAACTACAGGTTCAAGGAAGGATTACATTCCCCAAAAGCACCTGTTTGTAAATACCACTTGGATATAAACATCATTATTTTAGCATTTACCAATTTTAATTAGTAGATGTCCTTTTAAAACTTGTTTTTAGAAAAAATATACAATCATGAATTTACCTTCCTGAATTGTCATTTAAGATTATGGCTGTTTCATTGCATGAGATCAAATAGTATTGTTCCTTTTATAAACTAGGTTGGGCTTTCTTTGGTCTCTTTTCTGCTTTGCTGGTCAGGCTCTTTACAGTTTTCTGCCTCATTTCCAGGTAACCTAGGTTTCAGTTGACAGTCTAGCACAGCAGGCTGCCTTTTCTCCAGCATGAGGTGTTTGCAAGTGCGAGTTTGGTCTAAGTAGGTCAGATTTGCGTGGTGCATGCTCTTTAGATCAAACCAAGGTGGTGATTCTAAGGAGAAAGTTCTCAGATGTAAGATCTGTATGATGGTTTGAGGTGAAATGATCCATGAAGATGGTTTCTGTGCCACATTTCAAAATTCAGATCAATTAAAAACATTGTAAGGAACAATGAGCATTTGCTACACAGCACATTGACTGGCTCACCCCATCTCTTCCTGACACATCTCAGAGCTGCCCTGTCTTCCCTGATTTTATCTGCTTTACTCTTGGGGCACATTGAGATGAAGACTTTGGGACTGAAAATAAAGGCAGAAATTTATCTAATAGCCAAAACCTAAGGCACATCTTAGGGAGGCTGTTCTTTCATCCTCACAGTCTGAAAGAGAAGCTGCSCTCTATGGATTCCAAATAGGAGGTTCTGACAATAGATGCAGAAAGTGTCAGGGCTAGCAGCAGACCTTGCTTGCAGAAAGAAGTACAAGGGCCCCCTGGGGAAGAAGACAACTGTGACCACACATGAAAGGGAAATGAAATGAAACTCTGAGGGCGGGTTATGGGAGTATAAAGAAGGATGGACCCAGCTCCGAAAGCACTCAGAGAAAAGAAAGCAAAGGCTCTGGACCTTGGGAATAGAACCGGGACATCATAGCTGAGAAATGAACCAGTTTACAATATAGAAGCATGTGAGACTATGCGTAGGCTGCACCTTTGCTTGGCTCAGAAGCACAGCCAATGTGGGGATGCTGTGGGCTTTGGGGGGGCTTCTTGAGCAAAGTGAGCACATTCACCCTAATCATGAACCCCAGTATCATCTGCCTWCCTGTTCCTGTCACAGAGGCACATAAATTCCAGATACTCTCTGATGACTAATAAAGTTGCTTTGAATAGCCCTCCGGAGACCAGAAGAMATTCATAAGAAATTTTCAAAGAAGCCCACTTTCAGAGTTAATCCCAGCCTAACATACATTTCTTGTGGAGATCTTCCTGTAACAAATGAATGTCCTTCTGCATTTTCTTATTTATGTATGTGAAAAGGATTTTCTGCACATCTATATTGCTAATAAATTGAATCTCTTCTTCAGATCCTTAAATGAAACTTTTAAAATATAATTTATTTAGAAATAAAAGTATGATGCAAGTCAACACTCTTGAGATTAAAATGGAAAGATTCTTTTTACTTACAGGGTTCAGAATCATGGAAATCAAACATCCAATATAGATTATAGGAATAATATCTCATTTTCTATTGCATATTATTCACTTGTCTCTCATTCCCCATTTATTCTTTTGAACTGGAAAATTACAAGCTCTTTGTCCATCCACCAATCTGAATTTCCACACCAGAAAAACATTCCATCTCACCCCAAGGTTGTTGTTAGTTGTTTTCAATAGTTAAGGGTGTTTTGCCACTGCAGCTGTGTTTTTGCTTACCATCAAGAAATGTCACTGTTGCTAAAATATTCTAGGTTCCAACCACCTGCCTTACCTCAACAGTTTCTCGCCTAGCTTTATCAAGTCATGGAATAGAATTTTTTCTATAGTAGATAATACTATTTTCTGGAAACTGGCCTTTGAAACACCTTAAAATATTATTACTTATTCTGCATTTGTTAAAATGTTCATATTTCACAGTCTCTCTGTTTTAGACATCTATCTTCCCTACAACCAAATTTCTTCATTAGACTGCAGAATCTCTAAATATCTATAAATGCATGATAGCTATRTTAGTCAGCTTCCTGACACTATAGGAAAATGCATGAAATAATCAGTTTATAAGTAGAAAATGTTTATTGTGGTACAAGCTTTTGGAGGCTCCAGTTCATGATTGGTTAGCTCCATTGCTTTTGGGCCTGTGTCAAGGCAGCATATAATGGCAGAAGCATATAACTGAGCAAAAGCACTCACCTCATCAACCAAAAAAGCAAAGAGGAAAGGACTGGGGTCCCACAGTCCCCTTTGAGGACATCCTTCCAGTGCCTAAGACATCCTACAGACCCCACCTATCAAAAGTTCCACAGCCTCCCAATAGCACCACCCTGGAGACTAAGCCTATAAAACGCAGACATTTGGGAGATATTCATTACCCAATAGCTAAAGTCTGTATAAGAATAATACCAACATAGTTTTGACTYTACGAACAAAATGAGCTCAAGAAAGCTCCAGTGTGGTACCTGAACCTAGCAAGTTTACACGTGAATGTGACACTCTTAGTTCAGTCTTGGTTGTAACTCCGTATTGCTACCCTTCAGTTCTAGAACCACTTCTGCACTCTATAAAATGTCTTCTGCTTTCTCTATAATATTCCTTTTCAGAACTGTGACTTCATGCCTTAGTATTCATCAATTGGATGTTCTTTAAAAGATACACATGAAACACTGCTGTGCTGCTGTTTTGGAAACTGCCATTAGGATTTTTAGGGAAGATAATTGCAAATGTCAAACTGGAAAGTAGTTGAGAAATGAAACACAGGAGTCATCTGAAATTTAAAATATCATTKTTTGAGGCTAATAAAGTAGAATTAGAGATCATGTCATGGTTCAGCAGCCACAGTCAAGCTTTCTAATGTTGGGGTGTCCTATGTTTAGCTGGGGCAACCCCCTACTGCAAAAGAACAGGAGTAAATTTTTATCGTGGAGTAAGTACCCTTACTCCAAAACCCAGACCCACAGCTACTTGTCTTTTTAGGGACAATGAGAGAAAGATTCCCCAGGCCTAACTTTAGGGCCTGCATCCTTAGCACATAAAGGTGGTCTGTCCTGTAGACAAGACAGGCTGATGAGAGAGAAATGGCAAGTGTTTCATTCTTCATGCCTTTTCCTAAATGTACCAATGGCATGAGTCACTCTGCCTCGTCTGTGGACAAGGAAGTCAGGGAACAGAGAGAGTCCAAAAGTTTCCCCTTGAGATATGAGGAAAAGGTAGTTCATATTTCATCATTGTATGCCTCTTTCCTATGTAGCACAATGACAAAACTAGTTCCTAATTAAATAGCATAGCTCAAATGTTACTCTGTCCCCAGCACTTGGAAGTATTCAGTAGTTTCTTAAATTCCCACTGGACATTAGAAGCCATCTTTTACCCTGACAATTGTCTACTCTAATGTGCATGCTTGTCCTTCATCTAGCCTAATGTGCATCTCTGAGACCACTTGGTTCCCCATGCCTGGACCAGCTTGTAAGAATGATTCTCTGACTTGGTGTGCTATATTATAGTGTGGTTTCAAATTAATAGGTTAATAGAGGTCAAGCACCTGCATTTGTTAAAATAAATCCCGCTGAAGTTTTGTTTTTAAAGATGATTTGTGAATTATGACTATTAATTATCTACAAAACATGTTGAGCTTCTAGACCAGTGCCATCCAACAGAAACATAAGCTAAGAGTACCGTTCAGTGTCATGAAGTATATTTACACTGTTGTGTAACTACTACCRCTATCCAGCTCCAGAAATTTTTGATCATCCTATATTGAAATGGTGTACCCATT